GGGGAGCTGCGCAGTCCCGCAGGTCTGGAAGGTTGCTGTGGAAGTGTAGCAACAATAAGGCAGGTAGTAACCTGGAGCTGCTGAGATAATTACCCTCGATGTGGTGGAAGCTGGCACGGACTGCCCCCCTGATGGAATTCATCGCCACCGGGAGCTGGATGACTCCGCTTGTGAACGCGGCCGGTTGCCGTGGAGACTGAGGGCTGCTACAGCTCACCCAGGTGTATTCAACAGCTTCAGAAATATGGTTGGTTGGTTTGCACCAGGCACCCAGCACCCTTGGTGTAAAGCACTGCCTCCTGTTCTGTACCCGAAATGCACTTTTTCACGGGTTCCAGTTGGGTTCCCTGGTCTGTGTTTCACTGTCGGTCAAGTTGACTTTGTAGCGTTCGGGTACCTCTGAATACTATTTCAGTGAAGCAATGGCCTTTGAAATAGTGCCAGTCCGCAGCCAGGACACTGAGAGTTAGCTTTGCCTCATTTCACACTGTAACAGGAGAGCAGGGTGTAGATCACAGACCCCCCACTGTTCCTCCAGCGCACACACAGGTCCGTTTCCAGAGGAGGGCGGTCAGAAGGCAGCTTGGTGGCCGTTTGTAGGGCTGGAGCGACTCCAAAACTCGCAGCTACTTTTGGAGAGTCGGCAAATCGAGAAAAGTGCTCAGTGAGAGAAAGCGGAGAAGAAAAAATAACCGATAGATTTCCATTGTCAAATTCCACCAAGGTTAACATGCTGTCAGGCCGAATCTCACATATTACCCAACCCTGACGATCTCACACGCCATGGGCGACTGCAAGAGCTGTTTCCGTCTGCCCTGTGGCTTAACGAGAGAAGAGAATTACCAGAATTACCAGAAGTAGCAGAATTACCGTCCTGCTGCGTGGAATCGGTTCGTCTGCTGACTGAGGGCTCAGAGGTAGATAGAGGTGTACAGCCCGAGGCAGACTAGCTGAAAATCTCTCATAATTAGACACTTTAGTTTCACGCAGAGAGAAGCAATTAGGAGCATGCATTCCGTGCGTTTTCGTCTCTGCTTCGGGTTACAGCTCTACAAGGAGTTCGGGTGTCTTGGTGCTGTCGCCACCTTGTGGCCATCAGGCGACACTGCAATAGTAAAACGTTGTTATCCATCCCTCTCCTCAGCGCTCCGTCCAATTCAGGGTCGCGGGGGAGCCGGAGCCTGTCCTGGCAAGCAGGGGGCACAAGGCGGGGTACACCGTGGATGGGACGCCAGACCCTCGCCGGGCACACGCCGACACAAACACACTCACGCCAGGGCCACGTTTTACAGAAGCAAATTAACCTCGCTGCTTAATCAATGCCGTACAAAGAAAAGTCAGTACCGTGCTAAAGTTCAAAGAAACCCCCGGTGACCCCCGTCATGGTGAGCACAATCTCCTAACCCCTCACGCATTCCAGTGACGACAGGACGGGGCGTGCAGTCAACACGACTAAAACACTGTATGCTGATTAAGCGCATATTTCAAAGCGTTCCGATTCTCTGGAAATCACTATTTCACTTATCGAGAGACTGAAAAAGAAAAAGCAAAGTGACTGTTTATTTGTATTGCATATGAATTAGCAGGGGCGTGATAAAGATTTTAAACATATCAATTGGAAGAGTTCACTTGGATATGTTAAAATGTTACTGTAACGCTTACGGCCGACAGGCACTGTGTAAGAGCCGGCTTAACCAGAGCGGTGACGTCGCCGCCCTTCCCTGTGATAGCAGGACTACAGCTACTGAGCTGTAGAGAGATCTCTCTTTGGCTCACCGGGCTGGGTTCCTGTTGAGTGACGCGGGAGTCCTGGGTTCGAGCCCCCGACGGTGGGTGGCCGACCTAATGCGGCAAGGGCGCCCGCCTGAGCCCCCGTTGCATTACATTACACAAACATTGTACATCCTCAACAGCTAACTGCAGTGCCTTAATACACATATGCACTTGTCTCACTACTACATTATTCATTTTTCCCCAACATATTTATTGTTCCTGTTGTGTACATTGTGTGGTGTTGTCTGTTGTAGTTATGTCCGGAAGATCAGCGCGATTAAGAATTCCAATGTACGCCTAATAAACCCCTCTACTCTCTACTCTCCTCCTCAAACATGCTGTTTCAAAGCAAGATTCCGTAGCACCTAAGTTTGTTTTAAATTCTGTTAATAAAACATCATTTTTTTACAGTAAACCTTTTGTTGGGATGACTTGTTAACTCACTCTGTGCCTCTTCAGCTGAATCTGAATAAGCGCTTTGAGAAGCCACCTTAAAAGGCGCTATATAAAGTTTTTTATTATTAATAATATTTTTATCATCATTTACCCATCTACTGTCCTTGATTTGGTCGGAAGTAACTCTCTGATCCAAGGCTTCTTCTTATTCCGGAGTTATCTGCTTCAACAACATGGCTGACGATCTCGTCCCGACCGCTTTGTGTGACGAAGCGCCTTTTAACTGCGCTTCTGTGGCGTTTCCAGCCCTGCGGAGACCTGAATCACGCTACCGGTCCTCAGTGCCCAAGACTAACATGATTCATGTCCGTTTAGCCTGACACTGTTCATTCCTTTAAGGTCAGGCGCGTATCTCATCGATACTTTCCGGATCCGACCCCAGAGCAGCAGTATGTTTTTGAAACCTGGGGATTAAAAAAACGCCTGGTGGTGGTGAGACGTTTTATATTATTCTAACCCCTTGCATGTGCCTGAAATACACCGGTATCGCGGATGCGCATTTCGGAGGGGGGTACAGATTTCCAGATTTATTGTATGACCTGATATGTTTATTGTCATTACACTCATACACAGGTATATGGTATAACGAAATGCTATTCAGCTAGCTCTCAGACGGTAAGTAGTACAAAAACAAACAACAATACAATTGTATAAGAAAAGAAAGACGGAGCCAACAGGTAATGTGCAAAACAACATCAGTTGTGCAATATCACCCATCAACAGAATGAAATAAAGGATACAAAAATTAAGGGGAGTGAACTTCTTGACATGTGAGGTAGAGGTAGACTTCAATGTGTGTTTTGAGTTTTGATAAAGAGAGAAGGCACTGTGAGAGTTCAGATCGTAGGTGAGAGAGGCTGGGAGTTTCATAGTTTGATAGTGTGGGGGTAAAACTGTCTCTGAGTCCGGTAGTCCGGGCCCGGATGCTCCGGTACTGTTTTCCAGATGGTAGAGGGTCATACAGTCTGTAGCTGGGGTGTGTGGGGTCTTTGATGATGCTTTCCTCAAGCACCG